AAAAAAAAAAAAAGAAACAAGGTGACCTTTTTAGGCCTTGGGCACTGTGAACATGGTCTTAGGCATCTGTATGGTTCCTTTAGGGCCACTGGCACCTTGTGTCCTGAAATTGCCTTTAAGTTGATAAATGTAAGGTTTCTAATTATTTTCAGCATTTCAAAAAATCTGGGGAGGTTATATGTTTGCCCAGAATTCAACTACATAACCAAACTAAGCGTCATGGTCGTTCCTTAACTTCTGGTTGGAATCTCGCCTCCTCCTGATGGAAATATCCGATTGGCAGTCTATATTATCTTGGGTAAAATTGGATAAATGAATTTTACTCATCACAGTTTGTTGGGTAGATGATTTTCTTTGGTGTGCAAGATCTATGGAGAGAGACTCTGCTGGGAATCTGGGTAGAGATGCCCTGTGGGAAGGGTTAAGGAAGTGGGTTCCTGTGTCCCCCTTGGCAGGTGGCTGGCATTCCAGACAGTAGTGTCAGAGCGGCGGGAGGCAGTAAACTCAGCCCTCCGGGTGCGTAACTATTGTGTGGACTGTGAAGAGACTAGCAAGTGGATTGAGGACAAGATGCACGTGGTACGGTCCACAAAGGACCTGGGCCAGGACCTGGCAGGCGTCATTGCCATCCAGCGGAAGCTGTCGGGGTTGGAGCGCGACGTGGCCGCCATCCAGGCCCGCGTGGGTGCCCTGGAGCGTGAGTCGCAGCAGCTGATGACATCTCACCCTGAGCAGAGAGAGGACATTGGCCAGCGGCAGGCATGTGTGGAGCAGCTGTGGAAGGACCTGCAGGAAGCCCTCCAGGAGCAGGAAGCCTCGCTGGGTGAAGCCAGCCAGCTGCAGGCCTTCCTGCAGAATCTAGATGACTTCCAGTCCTGGCTGTCCATGGCCCAGAAGGCCGTGGCCTCCGAGGACATGCCCGAGTCCCTCCCGGAGGCCGAGCAGCTCCTTCAGCAGCATGCGGCCATCAAGGACGAGATTGATGGGCACCAAGAGAGCTACCAGCATGTCAGGGTATCCGGAGAGAATGTGATCCGTGATCAGACGGACCCGGAGTATCTGCTTCTGGGCCAGAGGCTGGAGGGCCTGGATGCGGGCTGGGATGCCCTGTGCCGGATGTGGGAGAGCCGCAACCACTCGCTCACCCAGTGCCTTGGCTTCCAGGAGTTCCAGAGAGATGCCAAGCAAGCTGAAGCCATCCTCAGCAATCAGGTAGAGGGAGGCATTCAGGATTGGGAAGTGGGGTTATCTCTCAGGGCAACAGCACTGGTGAGTCTGTGAATGTTCTCAGAGAACAAATTTTGGGGGACTCTCTCTGGCCAATTGGGGGGAAATCCTCTTTGTTCCTTACCATGTGCCTTTTCCAGCCCTGTGTCCTAAACTTTGCCTTCTTCTTGGGTCAGTTACAGGCTGGAGTTGTAAATTTTCCCCTGAGCCATTACCCTTCCATGTGGCTTTAGGCACACTGTTCCTCGGGTGCCGGGGGCCAAGCCTGGGGTTGCCTCTTCCTTGCACAACTCCAGCAGGTCACCATTCGTGCTGTAGCCTATATGGCTGCACACGGTGCTACTGCTTGGCAAGTGTCCTCACTGCCCTCTCAGCTTGTCTTCATCCCTTATCTGGAAACTTGCTTCAACAGGAATATACTCTGGCTCACTTGGAGCCCCCAGACTCCCTAGAGGCTGCAGAGGCTGGGATCCGGAAGTTTGAGGATTTCTTGATGTCTATGGAGAACAACCAGGATAAGGTCTTGAGTCCTGTGGACTCTGGAAACAAGCTGGTAGCTGACAAAAACCTCTACTCAGACAAGATCCTAGAGAAGGTGCAGCTGATTGAGGACAGGTACTCTCCACCCCCAAGGTCATGAGGCCAGAGCCAGGTAGGGCTGGTGGTGTTGTGCATGATTCCCAGGCTTAGCCATGTTGTGAACCGCAGCATCCGGCTTCCCTTCCAGGCACAGGAAAAACAAGGAGAAGGCTCAGGAGGCCTCAGCAACTCTGAGAGACAACTTGGAGCTCCAGAACTTCCTCCAGAACTGCCAAGAGGTGAGGCTGCAGCAAGGCAGGTCACTTTGCAGGAGATTCCATTCTAGGATCAAAGTGCCCTAGGAAGTCCACAGGGAGTACACCAAGGCTGGCTCAGTCAGAGGAGTGTGCTGCTCTTGATCTCAGAGTCATGGGTTTGAGCCCCACGTTGGGTGTAGAGATTACTAAAAAATAAGTAAATAAACTTAAAAAAAAAAAAAAAGTCCACAGGATTCCAAGTTGGGAGTCTGGAATTTCATGAGGGAAACTCTGGGTATTTGATAGCATAGGTCATCCTCTAGAATCTTTGGTTCTACAATTCTCTTTTTTCTTTTTTTTTTTTTTTTTAACCCTGAATCTACAAAGTCATCTTTTAATTTGCACAGTCTAGGGCAGGGTTCCTCAAAGAGTGGCCCTAGGGCTATCTATATTAAAGTCACCTAGGGCCCTAGTCAAGGCCAGCTTCAAGAACATGCAACCTGTGCATTCATACAGGACCTGTGCTTAGAAGGGCCCCATGCTTGATTTAATGGTCTGTGGTTGCCATCTTGAAATTCTTAATAATTTTGAGTATTTCCATTTTGCAATGGGCCCTGAAAATGATGGAGCCAGTCCTGGCCCTCATTAAATGCAAAGTCCTGGGCCCCACTGAGGCCCCGATGAATCAGAACCTTAAGGGGTGAGAGAGAGAGAACAGCATTTTCAACAAACCTCCCAGTTGGAGAACTGACTCAGAGGTCCTTGCTCAGCCTGGTGTAAGCCACACTCCTGAGTCCCTCCATGAGCAGTACTTCTGTGTGGAATGGTGCTTTCTCTGACTTCTTTTTTGCTCCCATCCTCATACCCCTTTCCACCCTGCCCAAACAACTTTGTTTTCATCTACCTCTGCCCTTGGCACCAACCAGGCTTAGTATGCTGCCAGGACATCTTGGAAACATTGGATGCTTATCACGGTTCTTCCCTCATTGTTAAATATAGGATCTGCCCTTGACTTCTTCCTCAGATAACATTTTCTCTGTGTTTATTAATGATTTCTCACCCTACTGCCAAAGGATGGATTTATCTGTCCATCCAGTAAACACTCACTGAGTTCCTGTAATAGGCCAGGCCCTGTCCTAGGTCCTGGAAATATGGAGCGAAGCATAGATATCCCTGGAGTCATACTGCACACAGTCTACTAGGGAAGACACTCAGGTGCTTATGTTTTAACCCTGAGACAACACAGGTTAAGTTGCCTGTGCTGGGAGTTAGGAACCAAGAGCTTTGGAGAGTAGTACTCTGCTGTATTCCTACTTCCTCTCCTTGGCCTTCTTCTGCAGCCAGAGGTGGAGATCAGGACCTGCCCTGAGCCCCTGGCCAAAGAGGTACACTCAGAGATTGTTGGACTCCCGCTTTCTGTCCACAGCTCACTCTCTGGATCAATGACAAGCTGCTAACATCTCAGGATGTCTCCTATGATGAAGTGAGAAACCTTCAAAACAAGTGGCTGAAGCACCAGGCCTTTGTGGCAGACCTGGCTTCCCACCAAGGATGGTTAGATAGCATTGATGCAGTAAGTAAAGCAAATGGTGAGTGGTGGGGGGCTCTCTGCTCAGATGTGCTTACCTGAATAAGCTTCACTCAGGGCATAGACACTATCTGAAGCTTACTGGATGGTATAGACCCTGGAAGTGAAAAATTTCTCTAAATAGTAGCCAAACCTTCAGAGCTCCTGGTATATCCAGCCTTGTAGGGTCTGGTCAGAATTGGTGCCTCCTCTGGGTGGCCTGAGTCTAGAGACAGTCCAGGACAGTGAGAAAACCTGAGTTGGTGCCTCAGCATCTAGTGCCAGGACACCAGTTATCTCTGTTTGCCTTCCATTATTCTCACCAGGACACCAGCACCGTCCCTCCCAAGGACAAAGGAGTATATGAGATGAGTAGAGTGGCTCAGGGGACCATTGACCCTCATTATTTGGATGGGCAGGACAACCCCTCATAGATGGGGAGCCAGGGGTCCCCCCTATAACAAGCTTGCCCAAGGGCCCAAGTCAAAAGGTAGCTGGTGGTAGATCTGAGAATCAGTTGCATTTACTCCTCCCTACTGTGGCTGTCCAGGAAAAAGTAGGAAGAAGTCATTGTGGTTGAAGGTGCAGGCTCCAAGCCAGACTGTCCAACTCCTCAACCTCTCTGGGCCTCAGTTTCTTCATCTGAAAAATGAGGGTAATAACAATACCTAGCCAAGGGATGGTGAGCATTAAAGCACTTAGAATAGCCCTTAGCACTTACTGGGCATACAGTAACTATTGGCTATTATTAGCAACATCTATTTCTAGGCCTATGTCATATTATACTGTACTCACCTAAAAGGGTACATTTATTCAGGTGAAAACCAGGTAAGACACACTCAGTAACTGAAACATATCACAAAGGTTAGCAGTGCATAGCCTCTGGGAAAACCATCAAGAGAGAGTAGAGTCCTTTCCATGCTGCTTGTACCTGGATGGATCTTGAATCTTTTTTAATTAAAAAATAATTTAGCATCAGTTGATCCTGGTCTGCAACTCCCCATACTACAATCTCCCTGAGTCCTTTGCTCCAGACATACCCCTCCCTGTCACACCTTCTCCTGAAAATAACTCGGGTGGGG